CCCCGGGCATTTGACTTTTTTGAAATTCCCACTACCGGGGCCAAAATGCTGTTCAAATGCCCCACACTAGGGTCCATTGAGGTAATCAAATGCCCCCACCCCGGGGACATTTCACAGGCACATAAATGACAGAAGGACGGCAGAACCGCCTTCAGTTGTCGAACAAAATCTTTATAAATACAGCAAATAATTCGCATTCAATATAACAAAAACTGAGAAGCACTGTTAGCGTATTTACTACAAACAAAAGTTTCGCGCAAAGCGGCGTAATCGCTGCTCCTGTGCAAGGTCATTGAAGGCTCAGAGTTTTTTTGTGTGTCATTCAAGCAGACTGCGAGCAGTCTCTCTTTTTCTTCAGATTTAGTGAGAGCAGTGCACGCGCGGGAGCGGCGAAGCCGCGAGACGCGCGAAACGAGGGTGGCAGCCCGAGAAGAAAAAAGAGAGTCTCTGTTTTTTCTTACCTCTCCCGTCTCGCGCCATCAGTCACGCGCGTGGCCATTTGCGTGTCTCGCGTTTTGCTCGACGGACTACAGAAAAAAGAGAGACTGCTCATAGTCTATCATTCAACATACAAAGCGTTCTTTAAAATGAATCCCACCTATTGAGATTACTACATCATGACAAATTCACTGACATAGTACATCATCGCTCACCTTATTAATTAACATACACTCGGCAGGTCAAAGTAATTGACCTCTGTTGAGCTTTTTATTGTAGGTATTGTAATTCATTGTAAACACAACTTAATACATTCATATATTCAAAGCCTGAATCCAATATTAAAAATATTAAAATTTAAATACCTTCAAATACGGCACAAACCTTGTAACCAATTGGCCACAAAGGCACAATCTTTACCACGAAAATCCTCTAACACCGCGTCCCCCATGACGCCACGCCAGATATTTCAGATGATATCGAGGGTGCAGTTCAAATTCCCCACCCCACCCCCTGGAAGACTCTGATAATCAAATTCCCTCCTCCCCGGGACGGCAAAGGTGTCAAATGCCCGGGGATGCCCGGGGGATGTTGAAGCTTCGATTTGACTGATACATAATTTCAATTGTTTCTCGGTCCCGCCTTCTCCCCGCCTCCAGACCAGTCAGTCACGTGATCAAAACACAATGCTCACAGGCGGCGATAACGTGGAGAAAAGAGCTGTGTTATTGTCACGTTTTTCTACGTTCGTTGTTCATAACGGTGGATTACGGGGAGCAATCACGACAACATAAACAAAGAGCAGTTTTACGCACCTTCGATGTACAAAGCTTGAATTTCTGTCTGGAAGGGGAGACCTAAAGAGACGACTGTACAAGCTAAGCTAAGTGTTCAAGTTTATAAGAGTGATTATGTTTTTGTCAGTGATAGATGGATATAATTCGACGGTAAGTACAGATCACAGGTTGTGTGCTGGAGAAATAACTTACCATTGGTTTGCTCTTAAAATCTGGGTCGGTATTACATGGACATTTTTTTCGATACACCTTTAGGCTTGTATTAACCTAGTGCCCCACTTACCAGTAAATTTAGATTAATGTTGTGGCGGCAATAATTTTTTTTTTCTCCCTGCAACCTACCTGTTTTGATCTTAGTTACTTGGAATGTCTTTCAATGTTGGACTCTCACAAAGCATTAGAAAAGAGACTTCCTTTTTTCATTCCGAGCGTAACGACTTTGTAATGTCGTCGCGCACGCGCGCAGTCTGCTAACCGCGCGTGGTCTTAGCCAGCTGCGAAATTCGAGGCCCCATAAATAAATCAATCTTTCTTTCTCTGAATATATGCTTGGTGTCCGCCAATGACGTCATGGAGCATTTTGCGTTTCCAGGAAACATAGACTTTGCCGTCGATGACCAAGGCGCATTTTCATGAAAGGCTGTTCTGTTTATTCATCATCTGCGAAACAATGGGTGTTACGAAAACCAAGACCCCCGACAAAACCAATCCGCAAAGTATATATGAAGTCAAATTACGACCGTTCAAAGAAGATCATCCGTGAAACAACCAAAAACTATTATCGGCGTGCGTGCCCCTGCTCTCCCCAGTTTCCCTACGTTTTATTTTCATCTTCGCGCTTTCTCAATGCAACGGGCCCGACTATCTCGGAGCCTGGAACAGGCTAGAGCAACAATGAGTTTTACAGTAAGCTTTGTTTTACAATGAACAGTTTAGAACATCGATAATGTGTGACATGTTTAGGGAAGCATGACATTTGTAAACAAAATCCTTGCTGAACATTTTCGTTTACAATTTTCATTACATTTACTTCCCCCAAACCATCCCAAGTTAAATATATTATCGTTTTATAGCAGCCTTATACATAAACACAGCTGTGTCTTTTAAGTCAAGCATAACAAAAATTTATTATTGCTGGCCTCCTATTTTTGATCCTTATATTTAATATTCGAAAAGAACATCTGGATTTCTAGCCTGCGAACAGCAGATGCATTTCCGGCCGTTGCTTCTCTCCCTCCAAAAAATAGCGTTATTTTTCGGAGGGAGAGAAGCGACGGGAGTTATGAAAACTAAGACCCTCGAAAACTAAGACCTAAGACCCCTTAGTTTTCGAGATTACGAAAACTAAGACCCCCTAAAATCGAATCCATCAAAATATGAAGTCAAATTGTAACCGAAATAGGTCTAATATGCCAAATTATCTTCTGTTCGATTCTTTCCAACGTTATAATTCAGTACTAATGAGGGTATTGCATATTCAGTAATCATGAGTCATGATCACTTTCATAGTTCTCCTCAACTGCTCCTTAATGACATAGCCTGGGACCAGGCCCCGCAGTGGGGTAAAAAGGAAAAAAAAGAGGGTCAAATAGGAAAAATATTACATTGCTACCTGTAATTTCTATTTTTAACAGTGTAAGTGATTATGTTTACACCTTACTGTTACAAACAATTAGATGTCAAGTGTGATTATGTACTACAACAAGTGCAAACACTCTATTGCTGAAATTCACTTAACAATAATATTTTTTTTCTCCAATTTATAAAAATAGATCAGTGCTTATAAAAGAAATTATAGGCCGAAAACTAAACAATACTGTGTTAAAGTTTCAATTCTTTTCGTAATTATGTTGCGTCTTTATTACCGTCTTTTCCAATACCCAAACAAAGTTTCTGGGAAGAATCGCACACGATATCACTACAAATATAAAACTTCGAAGAAGATCAATAAAAGTGCTTTCATCATTTTTCTTTCTCATCTAACTTTGAATCAAAAACAGTAACGTCAACATACTTTTTTTTTTAGAAAATTACAAATGAATTTGCAAAGAAGGAAATTACGTAAGTAAAAAATATATATATTGCACAAGAAATAGAAATCGCTATATTACAGAAGGTTTGCTTCAAATGATAAGGCCTAGGCCAAACGTCGAATTTTTCATGAGACTATTTGGGCTGACCTAAATTAAAGTTAAGGACGCCCCGAAGCAATTGCAACTTACTGAATCAGAGTCATCAGCTGACCAAAAAGCAATTTTAATAGATTTTCTCGCTAACGAGGCTGAAACTTCATTGTTAAACAATTTTTAAAATTGTCAGTTAAGTTACGACTCGAAGAAATCGGTTGAAATCAGGCTACAGTTAAGTTCGTCGCATTTGATGTTTGAAGATTGACGTTTGTCCCGCGGCCGGAGACGACCGTTAGACGTCCTATCTGTCAGAGGGAGGACGGACAGAACGTGTTGGACGATCAAACTCATTCAAACGAACTTAACTGAGCAAGACGTCGAACTTCACTAAGTTTGGTTCGTTTTTTGTAAAGTTCGAGGTTTGTCCCAGGCGTAACTCACGAATATAATTCAATCTCAAGAACAAGTCTTTGAAAAGCTTGGGTTCTACAAGTCATAAGGCGCGGTAACCTACTACATCATTTCTCAGGGCGTCGGTAACAGCGCAATGTCTTTTCTGCTTAGAAGAAAATATTATCAACGCCACAGTGGTGGGTCATTAGGGACTTTAAAATCCAACGACGCGGACGGTAACGAGAACGTCAGAAAAAAAAACAATAGGTTTAATAAGCAAAACGCACGTGAATCACGCTTTTTTGTACATTTCATTCCCGTTTTTGCACGACTACGACGTGAAAATGCCTAATTTCGCGTTTTATGGAGGACGTAAACAAGCAACGACGAAATTTTATTTCTCTTTCTGAGCTTGGATGTGGTCACTTGAAATTTAAGTTCAAGACGGTTCGCCCACATTTTACAAAGTAAATGGGTAGGAATAATCGTTATAAAGACTAGAAGAACGCAAATTCACTTTTTACGCTTTGTTCTCGGTGCCGTCGCGTCGTGGGGATCTTAAAGTCCCTATTGTAACGGCTTAACGTCACCACTCAAGTCAATGAAATGATCATCTGTACTTAGACGATATCTTCATCGCTGTAGCAATAAGCCGGAAGACAACTGTTCTGTGACCCAAAGAGTTATGAATCTCCCCTCTACCCCTAGTCTGGTAGCGGCCAACGCCCTATTAAACTATGAGCTAATTGGAAGGTGTTCACTTACAGCTATTTTTTTTTCGTTGCATGATAATCGACTATGTATATCAAAAAGGGTGCGGAAAACTCATGGATAGCTGATTTCTGTGTAGCCGCGTGATATCAGTTCGCCGGGGAAAGAAATCAACTCCAGGCTTGTTTGATAACACCCTTGGCTGAAAGATTGGACTTTTGACAATTACACAGTTGAGGCCGCAACTTTAATTTTCAGCCCTAATGAGACGCGCAAGGGCATAAGGTAGATAGTACCCGTGTTTCATTCTACTCGGCTATGCCTCGTGTTGGTGTTTACCGGTAAAGTACTTACATTAGTTTCTAACGGTAATTACAACTGGATGAAGCACGCGCGTGCCAGCACGTGGCGGTGAATGAAGGCACGTGCCGGTAGTTAGCATTTTCTGTCCAGTCTTTGTAATGCCGGCACTAAAGCCAACACAGCCAAAATAAACGACAAAAAGTAAAATATATATATAATAATTTATATATTAAGTTTCCCACATATTTGTGACAAGGTGATTTTTCGCATTACATTTTCCTTTTGTCACCCAATGATCTGCAAGATCATGATAAACCTTTGGCACAAGTAGTGGTTTTGAAACATACCATTTGCATATTTGACACAACGATAAATCAAGGTTTCTGCGAAACACTTTGTATTTTAATCTCCATTTAAAGTATTCGTTGTAAGCGGTATTGTTGGTGTCCAAATAATGAAGGTAATTCGCCAGTTGTTTCAAAGTTTTGAAGTCCAAAACATTGATGTAAGACCCAGGAATAGCCAGCTTGGTGTAATCTGCACCTCCCATCACAACTGGGACAACATTGAGGTCTTCACCTGTATTGAAAAATATAATTGTATTACTTTCTATTACTGTATTACAGTTTTTCAGAATGCAAGATTTGCCTTATTTCAAATACCAGGTTTTGGGATTTTGAAGGAAATTGGCGGGTGTGGGGGGGAGGGTGTGGGGGAGGGGGTTGTGTTTCGGGATGGAAAGTATGCATAGAAATGCGGCATCCCGATTATAACCATCGGGATTACGGGATTGCGCGAACGTTTGGGTCGGGATGAGGGGTTTGAAGAACCCTATTGAGGATCCCCTAAGGCCCTGTTTACAAGGAGGAAGGGGAACCCTGGTTCAATGGTTACCCCAGCAAAAAGGTCACCTTCTTTGTTTACACGACATGTTTACAAGGCAGATCGGGTTACTCTGGACTAGCAGGGTAACCCTAATTGAGTGCTAGGGTTACCCTAGCAAGAGGGTTACCCTGTCTGCCTTGTAAATGCTCTGCCAGGGATAACTCGCCTACCCGGGACAACCTTTCTCCGTCACGCGTGACCAGTAATCCTGACAATTTGAACGGAGTTATCCAATTTCTGACCTAAATTATAAACATCTGAAAAATGTACAATGTACGACATTTTCTGTATACGATGATAATATTTTTTCGTTTCTTTTTGTGAATTTAACCTGCGTTCCATAGAGAACTTCAAGTTTTCTTTTAAATCTGGAACGTTACGAAGAACGGTTCTTTTTGTCTTATGTGGTCATGCGTGACAAAACACGCCAACAAAGCTGGTAAAGGAGACCCAATTGAAAAGGTTACCTTGCCTGCGAAATTTTGGTTGTAAATTAAACCTGGGCTTTCTTTAACCCGCTTGCTAGGGTAACCCTAGAACAAGGGTGACCTTCTCTCCTTGTAAACAGGCCCTAACATGAAAATACTCCTGTTAAGCTTTCTAGGTACAAGGTTATCCTAATAAGTGTTCTATGAGCATGGAAAACAGGACCATAAATATTTAACAACACCCTTTTCACAGGGGGCCCACTCAATACGTCTGTGAAACAACAGTACTGATAAATAATCATTGATAATGTTAATGTTAAATTTTTCTTAGATTAAACAGCAGAATTTAATTTTGATGTCATCTTTTTATTTTAAAAAAGGCTTCAATAATTTGTTTTTGTAACATAAAGTAACAGTTATAAGTTAATTTCATGGGATTCAGCGTAAGTTTCACAGCCCAGGGGGTGAGGACCCCATGTGAAACTCGTCTGTAGACTGGAATTAAACCTCTTAAGGAGGCTAATTTGGGTGGGGTTCAAGCTATGTGTGCCCCCTAGCAAACCAATACAAATGCTAAAACAGCCTGTCAAAGAAGAGCTTACATTGTATATAATTTTTTCATTGTGATAGTCGAGTTGTCATTTTTTTCACACCTGTGCAAATGAGGAAAATTGCCTAGGCCAACCTAAGTGATACCAAAAACTGCAAGTCCCCAAGAGGAGACAACGTCAACCTTCACACCTTTCATAAGGGAGTTCCTCCAACCATGCACAGTGAAATTATGAAGTACAAGTGTGTTATAAAAAGCAAAGCATGCATGGCCAAAAATGACTTATCCTCTTTTTTCAAAGACCCCATAAGAGAATGTTTTGCCCAAATTTTGAATAAGCATACAGTAAAGACCCGCAACTAAGGCTAAATTTTTCCAGATAGGGCCCCTCAATACAAGAACCGGTTTAGCCTAAAATTTAAAACAGGTTCTAATTAATTTTCTAAAGTCTCTATAAAAAAAAAAACTGGGAAATAAATAAATAAGAGAGTTCCACCAACCCTCCCTCTCCACACACACACACCCTGTTTTACAGTATAGCAACCAAAAGCCGATCATAGATTGATGTTAAACACTGAGTCACTCATTCGAGGCAAAAAAATATAAGCAACAGTCGAAATTCCCATGTGGGCCACTCGATCATAATTCATGGGTTGACCCAAGTTAGACATGTGGAACATTTTTGATTCAATGCAAATGTTGACCTTTTCATGTACTTAATTGAATGGGTAAAGTTCAGTACATGAAAAGGTCGACATCTGAACTGGGCCTTATTCACGTACACAATTATTAAAGCAGTTTTCAACATCAATCACACCTTTACGGTAAACGCACACGTTCGCCGCACTTCTTAACCGTCGGTTACTGCTAGTATATCGCTACAGTAGTATATCATACAGTCGCAGTATTATGAGTAATCAAAATTAGGTGCAATTGCATTCTTACCAAGTACATTCCAATACTTCTCAGTGATGTAGTCCTCGCATAAAGCATTCTCGAATGACAAGTAGAACTTGTACTTTTTTTGAAGGCAATTGCTCATTGGACCAGGGCAACCTCTTCTCTGCCCAAACATTTCGGAACAACTTTTAAACACGTCAACTTTAATGTATTTTTTTAGTTCTTGTACTAAAGATATTCGAGGTTGAGCGCGACAATTGCTACTCCTCCAGGCCACTAGTTCGGTTTTTCCTTGGGAATAGTCCGGAATATTTCGCGTTTTGTTAATTTTCTCTTCTTCACTTAGTACTACGAAGCTTCCGTATGGCGACCAGAAATCTGAATCACTCCTATACGTCCATGTTAAATTAAACAGCCCGTTAAACGGGGTTGGATTTGGTGTTGCATTTGGACTTTCCCACAAAGCATACACCCAGCGTTGCGATTTGGGCCTGTCTTTCAACAGTGTTCCAAGATGCCCTACATCCGGCATGTCTCTGGCGTGAAATATCACCAAGTCGCTTTCCTTAAACCGATGTTTGTCATATGTCAGTTCGAAATCGCCTGAGAGACATTTCTTTGCGGTGAATTGAAATTTGTCTTCAAATCCGCAACCACCACGATCTTGTATCCACTTTTCGGTTCCAAAAAAAACAGTGTAAACGAGTAAGAGCGTTTTTGTTTTTTCTTGTTCAGTTGTTGTGCGTAGAGCTGTGTTCATGTCTTCCATTGTTAGCTTGTTGCTTTTCAATGGAAATTTCATTCGAAATTGGAAAAAAAACCACTCGATAAAGTAGAAAATGGCGAGTCCAGCGGCAAGGAAGAAAAAATATTTTGCCCATCGTCTTCCCATAACAGCACAGTTTCAATTGAGTAAAAAGAAAATGGCGATTTAACAGTATATACTGTTTTTAAACTGTTTTTATATATCTGCTAAGTCATGATTGCGATATATTTGCCCCTGGTCGTCACGCTATAGGTAACGGCAACATCCGGTCACGACATTTAAAATAATCACGCGATTTCAATCAATTTGATCAAACAATACCTAATCTACCCTTGAGACGGAGATTTTGGTGAGTTTTCCGTGATTCAGACATGGCAAATCTTATTTGTCTGGATAACGTTGTTTAAGAGCCTAACACTTTGGAATGCAAAGTAGGCCAACGAAAAGCGGTCAAACTCATCAGCGCATGATAGTAAATTGTCTTTAAATGTCACTTCACCTGACCATCAAATTCCGCATTCTGGGCTCCAAGGATGCTCCAAGGTCCACCTGTACATCTTTTAGTGCTCAAGAAAACATTGACCGAAGAATCTGGCTAAATTTGCTGTATTTTGGTATGTCAGGAGCTGATTACTGGCATGAGGACCCGCATACGACTCTCTTTTTTTGCACACCACAAGACGTCGGCGTTGTTAAAGCCCGGGTGTTAAAGACGCTAGGTTTTCAACCACAAGCAATAAAAAAGCAATACGTTTCTTCACCGTTTGGTCCAGTCATCAGTGGTCAGTTATTCGATAAAGCGTTTCAGTTTTTAACAAACTTAAGGTGGCATCTGCCCGGAAATCGAGCCTACCCGCGAGTTATCCAGAATAATCGCACGTAAAGGTAAGGTTACTCTTACCCCTCAGGGTCTCCCATATGAACTGAAGGAGGTGACCCGAAAAAGAAAGGATCATTCAGTATCTCCTGTCACATCCGACGAGATATTGGAGGCCACGATAACGATTGCGCCCAGCGTTAACTGTCCTGCCTAGCATTGTTGATCATGATGACCCTTTTTCATTCTAATATGAACTCTCTTTATAATATTTGCAAGCCATTTACAAGGACTTAAATTTCGCATTTTCCTGCAAGAATAGATTTTTCTTGAGGAAGATTGGGAACGTCTGCATGACAAATGCTTACCTTTTCTATATTGTTATGTTCTTATAAATTAATTTTTCACTCTATTTCCGGCGACGGCCCTGTGGCCCAATGGATAAGGCATCTGACTACGGATCAGGGGATTCCAGGTTCGAGTCCTGGCAGGGTCGTTTTTTACCAGTTTTTTTTTTTCTTTTTTCCTTCCCTTTTCTTTGCTTTACAGTTACTTTTATTGCATACTTACCAGGATACTTGCCCAAGTTTGTTTAAAATTCGAAAAAAATTAAAATGAATAAAAAGCACTTATCGCGGTTGCTAAAAGACGCGTCACTAGTCGAGCGGTTTTCGAGTCATTTTTGGGCTATAAAGAGCTAAAACTTACCACAAAGCGGGCCACAAAGCTGACTGCAGGTCGTGCATTTCGCAGTCTTCTGATCTATCATAAACTGTACTTATGGGTCCATCCCGGGGGGTTCACGTGCAAAATACACGTATTTTCCCATGTATTCAGCTTGCGAAGTTCGGGCATGTGCAGAAAGCAAAATGGACACAACAGTATTGACTTCTTTCCTCCCCTCTTCTGGCTTTTCTTGCCTAATTATTTTTCCCTTGCTGGGCATTTAATAGGCTTTCTCATTTTGGTGGGAACAGTTTTTAGGAAAACTTTTAGGATCGTAGGATTAGGTGGTCGTGCACTGGTGGGTAGTGAAACACCGAGATTTTCATGGAAATTTTCGGGTCAATGTTACATGCCACTTTTTTGCCTTTTTCACCGGTCTCCTTGACTTAATATGATTTGAAAGATCTCTTCACAATGCACCCCGCACAAGTTTTTCTCGGACAAAGTTGTCCTGGGGCCCGTTTCTCGAAAGTCCCGATAATTAACGGGCCCGGTAAGCTGTCTCTTGTTTCATTAACTGACAGTTTTATCGTGTTAGATGCAAAACTATTGAAATTTCGATCTTTAATGCAAACGGAGACCGCTTACCGGGCCCGTTAATTATCGGGACTTTCGAGAAACGGGCCCCAGGGCCGTTAAACCTGATGACGTCAGAAGCGGTAGAAGGGACCTGGATCCGAACGCAAGGTTACCGGTAGTTCAGGGGCGAATGGGATCAAGAATGGGATACAGTGAAGAAATTGTTAGTGCACTTTTGACTGGTACTGGGGAATTTTACACGGGGGGCACTCCTGCGAATTCTTGCATTGGTGGGGGTGTGCCGTGCGGTTGTCCAAATCTTGACCCTATTTCAGACTAAAACATGTAATTTTCCACACCCGTTTTCAGACCAGACCCCCAAAATCTATATACCCGTTTTCAGACCGGACCTTTAGGCAAAATTATGTTATTATTACTTAGATTATCAGGCGCAAACAACTAAAATTCTTCAAATCCATTTGAATTCGCAATTGGGGCCAAGAGGAGAGGAACCTAAACCTAAACCCTAACCCGCCATCCCCTGGTAGGTAAGGATTGAAGTTTGCTGCACTTAAAGGTGATTGGCAGCAAGGGGGTAGGGACAATCTGGTGCAAGAACAGTGACTGCCGCTGAAGGTTATGTATTCTCTTTAACAGTGTAAACATCCATAGAATTATGAAGACTTTTACGGTCGTTCCTGTGAAATGGAAGCTACACTGAGATTTTCATCAAACTTTCCCTATGTGATTCTGTCATTCTGTCAATTCTATGGTGACTGCCGTTATCCTGGAAAAATGATGCCCAGCAGAGCCATGCTGTGCAAAACAGAGGAGTGACCTTTTAACAACATCAACATCACCAAACAAAACCAGTGACACAACATATACAAGCTCACAATAAAACTGCCAGATCATTTTATTTAATATTTTATTTTGTATTTTTTATTTAAGGAAGCAAAAACTGATTTACAATTTCAGGGCATCAAAATATTTTTGTTTCTAAAAAAAATTATGAACAAAGAAAAACCTACCGCATGGTGCAAAAAAAAATATTTGTTTCACTTTCTCACCTGTAGCTGCATGTGCCATTGTGTGGTCCCAGAAAATATAATAAAAAAACCTACAATTAGAGTGACCTGGCAGGTCACTCAAATTGCAAGGGGGAGCAGGGTCTTAAAGGACCAGAACAAGTCTGAATCAAGACTGGAATTTCCTCAGGTTTCAAACGGGAAAAAAAAAAGAAAAAACAACATAATTACACAAAACAACAACAAAAACTCCAGATAGATATTTTTCCTGGGTCACTACATTAAAGTAGCAGAATATATTATTTCTGTTAACTAATTCTCCTCAGTCTTGTCGTGTGTAGATTAAGATTTGCCCTTAAACTTAACACTTGGGTGAGTAAAACATAGATTACATCCAAAACTTTGGTAGAACAATATTTTGGCACAATATACAACTGTATATAACAACATCTTAAAAATTTGCCAAAACTTTACAACAGTCCACCTCAAAGTAGAAAATCTGTTTTGGATAAAAAATTGCATTATTAAGCACTTCTCTTTAAAAATCAGAAATCTCTACCAATTTCCTAATGAATATTTGTTTTAGTTTAGCTTGCAACTGAACAAATTGATGCCTGAACAGTCTTCATTATAATTCTTCTTTTTCCTTTTGCACACAGTCCTTGGTATAATCTTTACATAAAAAGTTGAAGAGATTCTTCCCTTTTCTGTATTCTGCATAAAGTTCATCTTCTCCAATATCTCCGACTAAATTCCCACATTTTGTGGCCAGTCTAAAAAAAAAGGTTATGTTTAATACACGAACACCTATTTTCTTAAAATATGGCAATAAAATAATGATAAAAACTAAAAAGAAATAAGCTCTGGAGTCAAGTAGACAGTCACCAAACCTTAAAATCTCACTTCACTGGTATGCATTTATGTGCTGATACGCTAGAAGGCAAGTGAAAATAAACACAAAGCAAGATCCGCTCTGAAGTGTACAAAGGTTGCCCCAAATGCTTTGATCTTTTATCAAATTCTCTCAACTTATTCTTCGAGGAAATGTATTCAGATCAGTCAGGAGAATTTGTATGTGGATATTGCAAGCTTGAAGAGTTAAGGAACAACCACTGACTAGCAAGGTCTCAATTTCACAAGGCCTTAATTGCATTATAGCCAAGATAATAATGATGATGATGATGCTGATGATGACAAAAATGGCGATGATGATACCTAAGTTTTGCCTTTGGTTTAAAAAAATAAAGATTGTAATAGTTTTTTGGAACGACTTGAATTTTGCTGCCACAACTGTCACTTCTTCCACCAAACTCATTCCTGTTGTTCTTCTTTAACTGCTCAGGCCCACAATAAAAGCCTTTACAAATAAAATGTACAAAAAAGTGCTCCGTAACTCTTGATGTAAGTGTGCCCAATTCTCTATTTTAGTTTACAAGCAAATACAAAAGAACTTAGAAGCAGAAGTCAGCAGTTGATCAGAGGCCAGTTAGGATTTTTATCACACACCACTTATATTTATGTTCACACAACATACCTTCCTGGCCATTTTCCTCCTCCTTGCATCATGCCAGGGACATCTTTAGCTTCAAGGCCTGGACCAGACAATCGGTTCACTCCTTTGACAGTCTTTATACCATAGCTGGAAAATTAAAATGCCAAGCAAGGAAAAAAATTAGAAAAATATTTATTAATACGTACTTATTTGCCTTCACGTAACTTAAGGCCTGGTTACTCATTTTGATTGCAAGAGGCCTCTGTTCAAGCCCTAGCAGAACAAAAAATGCACCTCAAACTTTCTGCCTCTTAGCAGCCATTTTTGGGATGTCACACAATTACTTTGGGGGAAGTTGCACAACACAACAAAAACAGCTGCAATGGAGACTAGCTTCTGCTTAAAGAGAGTACAATTTTAAGCTAAAGAAAAACGAAATTAGGAAACACAGTACTTACTCATCCCAAGATTTATCACAAACAGTTTCAAACAAATCAATGAGCTCTGATTCTGGTAAAGGTTTTCCTTTCAGGGATGGTTTCTTTTCCTCTGCCTTTTTCAGTGCGTTTTCCATCTACAAAGTGACAAAATCAAAACATAGATGCAGAGATAGCTTAGCAAAGTTGACAATTTGGAATTGAATACAGATAGAACAAATTTTTCTGATAAAACTAAAAAGGTCCAGTTCATAAATAAGTCACACCTGGAGCCAAGGACCTACCATGGGTACCAGAGGTTTTTCTTGTGTGCGGCAGAAAATTTCCGGTGTTGGCCAAAGGCCGACACATCTTCGACTGTAGGCCGATGCCATGAGCGCGCGCAGGTCACTATAAAGACTTGACAGAAACCGGAGACCACGCTAGAAAAGTCTCTAGCACCCAGGGTACCAAGGACCTAGAGCTTACTTAAATATTTCTCGTCACAAATGCGAAACAAAGTTTTGTTCCATCTCAGAATTACCAACTGCAAAACTCTTGAGATTCTGAACCTAGAGCTGCGAAAAGTAGTGAGAAGTGGGAAAAATCATGACATGTCCCACACATCTCCTAGCGGAAGGACTTCCAGTGTGGATTATGGGTATTAAAAATATTCAAAGAACCAACTTTCTTGTAATGTATTGTTATTTTCCTGCAATCTTATTGGTCAACTTTTTCGAAGTGTCCCCCATTACAGTAGTCGCACTAGCAGTTAACAATTGACTACTCCAGAAATACCATAACATACCATAATGCTCTTTGTTTGTCACCCCAAAAATTTGCTTAAGCATTGCCTTCAGTTTCTCTTGGGAGTTAAAATGGCCCCAAAAGAAACTGAAAACAATGTTTGTGCAAAATGTTGGGGTGACAAACAAAGAGCATTATGGTATGTTCTGGTATTTTCTGGAGTGGTCAATTTACAGTCAATCTTCTTCACTGCTGCTGACATGCAAATTCGTCTTAATTCTGACTGAACAATTGATTACAACAGAATGACAAGAAAACGTATTTATTTAAAGAAACTAGATGCGGCTAAAGCTTTGCAAGTTTAAAGTCTTATACTTATCAAAAAGCTTATGGGCATGCAATGATAAAAACCCGTATTCGCTGTGAAAAATTAGCTGGTATCGATTATGGTATCAGCTGCGGTTAAACACATAAATTGGTATCGGCATTATGTGAACTAAGCGTAAAATTACACTATCCATTTTCAATTGTAAACATATAAGCTTAAGCTTAAGACTTAAACTTAATTTTTTTTAGCTTTAAATACGTGTTCCAGCTCTTTTAAAATATTATATCGGACAAGCTTTTACCAAAGGTAAAAATTACCTGATATGCAATAGCAGTGCAAGCATCACATGTTATCTCAAAGGATTTTGGAGTGTGAGGCGAATGTTGCTCTTCTTCATTCATTTTTGGAGTCTCGAAGCGCATTGGCTCGCCATCTTGAAAGCCATGAACTTCCGCGCACCATAGAGCCAGGATTGAATACAGCACGAGACCCATCGCAATCGCTAATTTCTCTTTACAGCAATAGAAAGACACGTATTCGGAAGTGAACTAATATTATAAAACGTGTCAAAGTTTATCAAACCATAAATAAAAATCTGGTTGACACAACAACTGCAAAACAGCAAATCGTATTTTGCCACGGGAAAAAACAATTCTTCAGCGATAAGCCGCTGGCCATTTGAGTGGCGGCACGCCACAGGTTACCCAAGCTGTGAGGTCAAAAGACTTCTGTACCAAGGTTTGTATATCAACATCCTCGGTGATCCAGGGGCAGATAGTGGGGTCGAGGGACGTTTAGACTTTCCCTTGCCCCTACTATCTGCCCCTGGGTCTCCGAGGATGATCAGATCGCAACCGATTTTGATTTTATCAAAGCGACAACACATTAATGTGTCGCATTAATGTTATTTCTTTTTTCGTCTTTTTCAAAAGACGAGAAATAACATTAACTTATGAATTTAGTTACCGTCTTTCGATGTCGTGTCGCTTACAGTCCTTATTCACAAGCATCCGACGACTGTTTTCTGTAAAATATCTGTTCGGAGAAGCAAATATTGCCAAGAATTTTCTATGACTTACAGCTAAAAATTTCTAGATGACCGTTCCATTCATTTACTATTTTAGAAGCTTGTCTAATAAATGCCCTACGATTTTGTGTTTGATTTTCCCCTCCCCGGGCTTGGCTATTTCACTAGCCGGCGTGAGTGTTATTTACGGTGTGCGGAGAATGGGTTGGAGGGGCGCCAACTCTCACGCGATCAAAAACAATTCTGCCAGCAACGCAGGCTATGCTATTATAATTAACGCAAACTGAATCAATGGGAGAGTGTCAGATTGGGACTTTGAATATAATATGGCAAATCCCTTTTGTTGTAGTTAAATTGTTGTTGTTGTTGTTGTTTTTGTTGCAAAATAAGTTGAAAGAATTGTTACACGCTCAGATGTATTAGTGATAGCATCATGCTAACGTTGTTAATGTTGTCGTTGTCTAGAAAAAGATCCCGTAGAAAGGGCTATTATCATTTGAAACGATACTTTGGATAATAATTCAGCTTATGAGAGCTCTTAGACTGCTCAGTCGAGAAATCGGGCTAATGGACTGTTTTTCTTGGGACCAAGAAAGATTGTACATTTGTAAAAAACGAAAGTGATAAGTGCAACAACCCAGAACAACAACAACAACAGCACTTTATTTCACCCCATCATATACAAGAAATAAAAATTTATAACAATAGTACAGACGATGATAGGGGCGCTGGCTGCCCGAAATAACCTAAGAGTTAAAAATGCCAGGCAGCCAGTTAAAAGGAAACATGTTTAAATGTTTAGGTCAGGGAAACAAGAACAAAGAAAAGAGAGAAACACACACAAATAGTTAAGTAAACTACCAGTATATAAAGAGACTAAAATTCATACATTGCAGAACAGTATTATTTCAATTTTAAAGTTACCCAGACAATGTACAGATGTCTAGTAATCTTTGATAAAGTGCTGTTTCATTTTCTTTTTAAACAAAGACAATGAAAATAATTTGATATCTTCGTCGAGGAAAAAAGGCGAAGTGAAATAAAATCCAGGTACACTTTTAGACAATAATCATTATTTTTTCCGTTATTATATCATAATTATATTTATATTAATATATCGATCCGTTGGGGATCTGTCGGTCAGTTTCTTTTGCTGCATATAATGACTGGAAGAACTTGTACAGAAACTCCTTTAACCATGTTAACCAGAATTTACTCCGTTGCTTGACTCTGCAAGATAGGCAAGAAAAAATGAAAACTGAGTAGCATTTATAATTGGAAACATCTAATAAATTGTTAACAAAAACTGTCAATACATAACACAATAATCCCGGTCTGCTTCAGTCCGTGATCGCCAAAACCCGGGGCAACATAAAGGACGTATAATAATTGCTTCGAATAGCATCAATTATGTTGTCGGTTGATGGTAATAAAGTCTGGACGTCTGGGAGGGGTTATTGACCTGATTGGTCATCTTAATGGCAATGCCAGTATTGGTCACATGTAATTCAACGTTGGCTTTAAAGTCTCTATCCACACGCGAGTGGTGCGAAATAATCCGTCTTTGGCAAATCTGATATTTGTCGCTGTATTAATTGCTAACTAACCAAATTGTTGTTTTTTAGTCAGTTTATTGCACATTATGTTTTTTAAGTTTTCAGTTTGAGTTCGTCAAAAAGTCGTTTGTACGGTACTGACTCGTTAGTAGTGGTCAGCGGCGCTGAGGGTAGGGATGCAAGAAGGTTTGTATCAAATCACGGTCAACTCCAGCCTCGTTTTCACCTGAACTTTAAAATGGGCTGTTGCAGTTCGAAGGCCCCCCCTTAGCTCAATCCCCGCCCTAAGCGCTAGCTCTGGATAGCCATCTCGTTTGCATTCGGCCAGTAGAGATTCTTTTAACCCTCGGATGTACATGCAGTCATACCCCCACCGTTGTAAACTGGGGGGGAGGGGTTGATGGAAACCCCCCGCTTGAGTTTGTGACATATTACAGTATTTCGAAATATTTTAACTTCATTAAAAAGCCTTTGATCTTCACCGCAAGATGAGGTAAAAATTTCCTGGGTGGGGGCGCAACTGGAAGCCTGTGACGTCACCAAACGTGGTCGCCATCTTGGATTTTACCAACAGAAGAAATTGGTAATTACGTGTGAAATAAATCACAAATAAGTACTTGGCTTCATTTTATCCACAATATTTGCTTTTATCATTAAAACAAGATGAAAAACATGCATTTTCACTCAAAATGGCTTGCCCATTTATCTCAAAACTCGTGCGAAGGATAAATGAACAGCTAATGAAAACGTCGGACGTTGATGTTTGATCGTCTAGGAAAAATCTCAGAAAGCCTCCACAAGGAGGGTGGCATCCACCTTCTCCCCCCTCCCGCCACCCCTAGTGTGTGGGATGGTCAACCGGTCAACCTTGTTATATTAATATTTTTAATTATTTCTGTCCTTGTTCGCGGGACACAATAAAACGTTATAGGTGATCAGTAATTGTACTACCCTTTTTAGCCTGGCCCACAAACTAGCCATCAAAACTAAAGCCCCTAAAAATGGCATTTTTGACCTTTTAATGACGTTTGGTTTTCCATTGTCTCTTCTTAAATTTATAATGCGGTCATGAACTGAGCGGAGCTTCCATTTTCGGGGTAAAAAGTGATGTAAAATGCATCTAAAAATAAACCCGTCCGTAAAAACGCCGTGCCTAGAATAAGAGTTGCACGCCGGTCCGGGTTATGGGCTCCTGGCCTGGCATGGTGAATAGTTCAAATGCCTACCTTCATGAATGAATTGATCTAGTCCACGTAATTGCTTACGCGGGTATACATATTAGGGAGCCCCCTTGGACAAGCTGTCTTCGAAATGCCGAAGCTAGCAAGACCACGAAGCACCCAGTGACCATTTTCTTTGCAGACCAAGGGACCACCGCTGTCCCCGAAACAAGCACTGGCATTTTTGCTTATCACGCACATGACTTTATTCTCATAAATACGGAAATACTCTTGCACGGTAATCCCTATGCCGGGTTTAGGCACCAGTCTTGCAACTTGTTCCGCACACTGGGTCTGATTCATTACGTCCACACAAAGTTGTTTTAGGCGTGGTGGAGTTGTTAAATCTTCACTCCCAGGTTGATTGGAACGTCCCCAGCCTACGAAAAACGCCTAACTAAGTATAAATAAGCAAAAAAAACACTCTGAGAGCAGGACATCCTGCAAGTTCAGCGTTCTTACCACTGAATCGCTATCCTTTATATAAGCCATATTGGTATGAGCCTCCCCAAAGGGTAGGCATTTGGGCCTTTTTGGTCTGAAAACGGGTAGGCTAGCTTTGCCCATTTTAATTTTGGTCTGGCATCGGGTATGGTTTCCGAGGGAACTATAGGAGCGTATGAACGTATTTATTGTTTCAATTTCAAATAAAGAAATAGAAATATGCAAATACGAAACGCATTTTAAGAATTTTTTGGTCTGAAATAGGGTTAGGGTTTAGAGAAGCGGACGGCACACCCCCACCAAGAATTACCAGGAGAGCCCCCCTATCCCCGGGACCGCTTTTTCTCCTTCATGCAAATCATCAATTTATGATGTCGGGAGAAGACCTTTGAACATTTTTTTCTCGTTGTGAAATTTTGTTCTAATATTCGATACAGGTAAAACCGGGTTGTTACTCCACACAAATATGAAACGGCAAACTGATCCTTACGACACATTCACGACATGGCGATGAAGAAGTAAACAAAAGCATAAAACAAAAAATATAATATATATTGAAACAAATTCCCCAATATTTCGGTTTGAAAACAAACCTCCTTGAGGGGCTAAAAGAAAAAGTTCGTTACAAATAAGAATGTGAAATGTAGAAATCGATGACACACTCGTTTAATTTATCGATTTATCTAGATTTTCCCGATTCCATCGATTTTCATTGCAAGATACATTCTGTTCTTATCCAAAAATGAAAACTGATTTCATGAAAAGAGTGAATTTGTTGACAACTGAGTTGCAATCGGGAGTCGAAGGATCAAACAATTTATTATCACTTTTTAAAAAAAAAGTTTAAAAAAACCCTATCTTTTCTTTAAAACGTACCCGCTTTAAAGTCCTCTTCGGATGGCCGATATTGGCCAGGTTTTTTTTATTTTTCCCAGTTTTTAACGATTTATAGATCTGCCGTTCTTTCAAAATAACCTTAGTTCCGTGTGTAGTTACTTCCCAGAGCAGCCAATGGATAAAAAACAAAATCGATAAAAATCGTTAAAGATCAAGTCTTTTTATCGATTAATAACGGAAAACGTTGAAAAGCTACCCAGAGAAATCTTTTAGTCTGAATTTTGGGCATCCCTTTGACTCTCGAGGATGTCTGAAATTCAGGCTGGGAAATCTTTTATATAAGGTTGTATTTCTCGTGGTACTTGCCTGCAGGAACTGCGAATGTAATTATAAAACCGAACCGTTTCTGT